TTCTTTACCACCCTTAAAAAATCATTATTAGTTAGTATTGTAGTTACATTTATCAGATGGATATGTCATAAAACTTACTGGAAATGATTTTATGGACCAAGTAAATGCATTCAAATCAGGAGCATATTTAACACTTCCAATTGTTGTTTTAAACTTCGGGGAATCTGCATCAGCTGGTACAGGAATCAGTATCTCCACATTATTTGCAGTTGACCGTCTTTTAAATTGTGACTTAGCTTTGATCATGTATTCTACACGGCTGTGTGCGTGCCTTTCAATTACTGATTCAATCCATATCAAGGGTTTTACATGTGTGTTAAGTCGATAAGACATTAACTCAAACTCTCCATCAGGAGGAATAAATGATATGGTACGATCATTTTCAAATCTAGATAATCGCACACATTGGTGAAACTTCACATCCTCAAGTTCCACAGATTTTGACTTACCCCTGCCTGTGCTTTCAAATAGAACTTTATCATTTAAGCCTAATCTTAATTCTGGCATTCCTGATAGATATACTCTCATTTTGATAGCACCGACAATTTCACTTCTTAGAACATTGCCATTTACATTTGCCAAAAGATTTACGGATTCTATTACATCTAAAAATACTTCATTTTTTCGGTACTTGACACCTTCTGAGCGCCATGATACAGCATTTGTAACTGCCATAGGAATACGAGGTTGAATTTCTAACTTATGCCCTTCTTGAGTAATATACTCTTGCAATATTTTGCTGTCAGTAGTTTGAGGATAACCAAAATCTAAAAGCTCATCTAGTAGTTCATAAATCACAACAAAATTGTCTCTTATGCTCTCTTCTTCCAGTTCCTTGAAATATTCTACCATGACCTACAAATGAAGTAAGAAATTTACCAAAATAATATAATATAGTAACTACAAAATTGTCAAGCGTGAAATAAATCTGAGAGGAGAATATGGATATTATTTTATCTAGTGTTTTGAACACTCTATAATTAATGTAACTTTCAAAAACATAAATGTGAATACCTGTACAATTTTATGCAAAAATACGAAAACAAGAGCAATGTTTGCATTTTTCTTTGTAGTAGATACTATATACAGATTATTTGTCTTATATATGCAAATATGCAATCTGCTGTTTGTAATATAGGTGTAACCATTCCTTCTTCCTCTTTTTCCATAAGAAGTGGCATAAATTTATCAATAACACCCAAATCAATGTTTCCTCGATAATTACGAGATATCAAAACCTTCCCCTTCACATCCAGAATATATACAGCCGAAGTAGACATGGTGCTCACTAATTATAAGCTAAAATTAAAAAGAAATTCTTAAACAATTAAGCAATAAAATTTCACCTTTTTTTCAATATGAGAAGCGTTCATACATACGAAATGAATATGTATCACTGACACAAAATGATGTATTACAGTAACTTAGAATAAAATTAAACTTTGTAAATTTCATTTGGTACAAGTATTTAATTTGTTATTGCAATTTACTTGGAACGTTTTGACAAAAATATTAAACTTTTCAGATATCAATATATTGTCGGTTCAAATTCAATGAATAAATTGTACCATGATAATTTGAAAAAGTAACAAAAGAAAATAATCAGAGCATAAAAATATCTATAAAATATAAACGGTCAATAAATTATAGGTGATTATAATGCAAATGACACTCCCTGAAATTCACAATCTTTAAATCATTGGTATGTACACCTGTATTGCAAGGTGTCACATTTTCAATCAGATTAAATATTGAAAATAAGCATTTAATAGATATTAGAAAATGATAATAATGATTACCGTGCAGATAATATAAAAATAAGCAGGTCTGTTTAATTAAAATCCCTTGCAAAAAATATAAATCATAAAACTTCCATAATTTTCCACAGTTTGACACGTTTTTTTATTTGCATCATACGTCAAGTTAAATATTTGTATTGCACAACATCAGTAGCTACACACTACCATCCGATTACTAAACATACCTAATACTGATTAAAATAACATTACTATAAATAATCTTTTAATAATAAAATACACAAATATGTGTGACTTTTAAATCACGAAGCAAGTCATACATATCAGGTCCTAGTTAAAATGTGTGCAACAAACTGTTAACTCGGCCATTTTGACATTTCTTATTCGTCCTTACGCTTCTGAACAAAAGATGGCCTCGTCGCACGATCAAGAGCAAAAATGCATCGATTTGAATTACAACATAAAATTCAGTGAACAATATGCATAAAATAAAATAAAATCAAACCATAACTTTCTTATATATGAAAATACGTCGTAAATAACATTTATTTAAATAAAATTCACAAAAACTACCTCTAGTTAAAAAAATACAAATAGTCATTAAAATTACAATAAAAAATTACAAAATTTATTTAAAAATCTGAATCATTACCGCAGTTTAGTCCATCCTTTTGTATCTAAAAAGCTTGCCATCTGTAAAAATAATAATAAGTTTCAAATGAATTAAAACAATTATGCACACAGAAGAGTATGTAACTTCCAAAATTTAATGCTGACACGACAAACATGAAAAACAGTAAAATAAAAAAAAAAAATCTTTAAAAGGTAAGTTAAAAATTTTCAATGATGAAGCAACAAACATTTTATGAAACAATGAATGTGTTGTTAAAGTATTGAAATATCAGATAAATTTTGGATGTAATATTTTTATTACAATTTCATCATACAATAAGCATGATATTAACATTTGTATTAACTTAAATATATAATTTGAAGGAATTTATCTCAAGATCTTTGAAAACTATGCATACTTCTGTAGCACATGTAATAAGCTTTGCTGATTAGCAATAGCATCATATTTATAAAAAAAAATCTTCATAAAATAATTCGAATGAATTTTTTTGTTATAAACATAAGTCAATACAATTTTATTTACAATTAATATATCTAACACTACCAAAAGCTTACAAAGGCCTAAAAGAGCAGTTAAGGCCAACCTGCGTGTCCTTTCAGAAAATATTACAATTTTGGAAGCCTAACAATTAATAATCGTTATTAATATAAATAACTTAGAAACTTCTTCTACTAGATTAAAAGTTCAATCAAACATTATCTTATGCAATTGTAATTTCGAGTGAATTAAGAGCACTGGAATGACATTACTTTAGCGCTTATATACATCTGCTAGTTCAGAAGTATTGCAAGGCTCTATTGAAATGTTCAAATTACCGTGCTTTAGTTCTTCTATTAAACAGATTATTCTCATTGATGGGAGATCTTGACCGAGATCTTGAACGAGAAAGTGTATTTCTAGAAAATCTCTCATTTTTGTTCTTCAAATTGTCTTTTGTGCTTTCAACATCATCTTCTCCCCATAAATCATATTTTGATAAATCACCGCCCTTAATAAAAGAAAGAAGCAATTAAAAAAATAAATTAGTAACTAATAAATAATTAAAATTAGTTCAACTCTACCTCTTCATCATCATCATCTTCCTCTTCTTCTTCATCTTCCTCACGAACTGCTGGCTTCTGAGGCGGTTCGTAATAATCCCTTTTCATTTTGGAATTGGAATATGAATCTCGCTTTTTCCTTCTGCGACCAAACTGATAATATCTTTTAATTTCATACATCTTGCAAAATGATTAAATACTAATATGATTTAGACACTAAAATATTGTCCATTTCATATACTAAATGCATGTAAGTTTTTATTAATATATGTGTAATTAAAATACTAAAAATGGACAATCATCTTCAATTTTTATGTGATTATGTTATATTATTTAGGAAGACATTAAATTAACATTCAATATTTACCTAGATAACAATTACCTCATCATACTCATTATCAGAATCATCCCTTTGCTTGTATTCAACAACTCCTCTGTCATTATAGCCTCCTCCCAAACCAGTTCTCTCTTCAACCTCAACAAATTTAGGAGCATTGCACATATTACATGTGGGACGGCGTGCCCAGTTAACATTGCTACATCTGTGAGTTTGTTAAACATGATAGGATATAATAAAAGTTATAAAAAACCTTAATTTTCACTAAAATTATTGTTATAACATTGTATCATACTTGCAACATTGCCAATCTTCAGCACTAAACAAACCACGAGATTTTTCAGCAGCTGCTTTGCCTATTTCTGTACCGAGTTTTTTCTTACTCTGATAATCACTTCGTTCTTTGTTACATCGATTGCAACTGGTTCTTCTAGCAAAATTGATGTTAGCACATCTAAAATCAAGAGAAAAAGCAATGCAATGGTTCCAATTTCAATATCAATGAATGAAATTATGTTAGTCTTGACAGATATAATTAAGATTAAATACAACATAAGGCTTATGTAAACATAAAGATGTTGATTACACTAATGTATATAAGTATAACTCAATCTTCCAGCAACATTTTGTGAACTCTTACACATCACAACTCCATGCACATCAATAGTGAGATAAAATAAACTTTGACATAACTATTTGTGAAAAATGTTATATCTAACTTGATAATTTGAGTGATAAAAATATATAAAACAAATCTTTGAAACCAAAACCCTACCATGATAACATACATGCATCTATTGACCAATTTTTTCATTGATTAAACTAAGTTTTAGAAATTCAGAAAGAAACGAAATAATAACACCTTGTACACAAAAATTCATTTCGGTGCACTACGTTTTATCGACGCAAAATATAAAAAACAAGCAAATGAAATTTTTTGTTTTGTTGTTTACTAACTGTGGATCACTACAAATCCAATCCCCTTCGCTCATTCGAAACGAGCTAATATTGGAAGATACTCCGGCATTCGCGGCAGGACCATCCCTTGGTGACTCTGCGCCTGACATTTTTGTTACATTCAAAGATTTTCTGAGATCAAACAAAATTCGAATAATGCGTAAAAAATATATATATATCTTCTCTTAATCTAAAATTTAGTCTTAAATGTCTAGAACGTCAATTGAAGCCAAGATAAACAATGTGACAAAACTAAAATGAAATGCTGCGCTTTGCAATCATAATACTTGGGAAATTTTCACTGTGAAGTTGCTGGCATGTTCTTTAAATAATTAACAACGCTCAGCCTTGCCCACCCTGTGAATAAACTCTAAGCAATGATTCAAACCAGCGACATAACGACCATAACGACAAAATTTAAATGTCATTTTGAATGAAATTTTAGTATGCATAAAGATCTCAAAATAACAGAAAACTAGTAGGTATTGGTATTTTGCCTTGAGGCTATTACATGCACCTACCGATATGTGTTAATAATCGACTTAATCAATAAAAAATAAATTAATTTATGAGTGATTTTCCGAGTGGATTTATTACACATAATTCAAAACGAACGAACACGTTAACTCGGAGTATTTTCTAAAAGCACATTTTCAAAAGTACTCATAGATAAATAAACATAAGCAAGTACTCTATCGTTATACCAAGTAAATCGTCCAATTTTAATTTTAACAAACGTAAAAAACTACTCATTTTCTCAAACTTTGATGAATTTTTAAACTTAATCTACTTGTTATAAGGCCGATGTATTTCAATAAGTTCTATAAGACCATGATATATATCGCTCAAAATATAGTTCCATAAAAATCGACTTACATTTTTTTTCAACAGTTAATTACAAGAAAACGGCTCGGTAGATTTTCATCTAAAACTATCAGTATCATTCCCAACTAATACCTTTCAAACAGTTTTTGATTTTTCAAAATCGATTCGGCAGTATGAGCTTAAATGTAGACAGAAAGTTTAACACTTTTTTTCAAATTGCAAAGAAACGGCTCGGCCGATCGTCGCACAAAACTGAGAAACGACAATCCTCATCGAGATGCATCAAACAAATTTCTAAAATCGGTTAAGGCGTTTTAGAGTAAACGTCGATGAAGAATCTAATTTTGATAAATGCCAAAAAATACGATACTAATTTTTGCAAACTTTGACGAATTTTTAAAGTTAAACGACTTGTCGTAGGGCCGTAATATTTTAGTATGATCTATAAGACTATGGTATCTACCGTCAAAAAAAATTCATAAAAATCGCCGAAATTTTTTTTTAACACTTTATTACTAGAAAACGGCCCGGCATTTTTACCAAAAACTAATCGCCACGATTCCCAACCAATATTTTTCGAGCGGTTTTTGAATTTTCAAAATCGATTCAGAATTGCGGGCTAAAACCACGAATTTTTTTTTACTTTTCTGCTATTTATAAAGAAACGGCTTGGCAGATCGTTGCACAGAACTGATGAACGCTAGTCCTCATAGACATCGAATGGCTTTTGAATTTTTGAAATGGGTCCAGCCGTTTTTGAGAAACGTCGATTTACGGCAAAAAATCTGTTCACATACACACACACATACTTTTTAAATTTAGTATTGACATAAAATATTATAAATGTTTACATTTCAGCAAGATATGCATATTATTGTTACAGGTTTTCAAACATTAGATTAAACTTGAAACTATTATTATAGTTCCAATTGCTAATACTACCGATAATAAATCAGAGTAAAATTTAAGCAAAACAATTGATGGATATGAATTTATACCCGCATGCCAATGAAAATTTACAACCATTTATCATAATGCAGAAAAACATATAATATATAATATAAATATAAGCAATAAGTTATTATTGTAGATTGATTTAAATCTTTATATAATTTATTACAGTGAAAAAAAAAACATGACAATAATATCCATAATTTATAAACTTATGAGAAGTATATTGCGTGTTTATTTAAACGAACTACGTTTCTACTTGAGATAACATTTATATCTTTCGAGAGTATTTTTTGGTTGTTTGTTTTTTAAATAGAAACTTAAAAAACCTATGAACTGTTATGGTGATAATTAACTACGTAGCATTTTCAGAAAGCAACCCAACTGGTTGACCTATATTTATATTTTTATTATTAAAATTTCTCTAATACTGATGATACATTTTTCATTTGATGCAGCAATGCCGAGGAAGAGCTATTTTTATATTGTAAACGTAAATTACACCTATATTTTCAAGTAAAATCACTACTGCTTGATATCAAGGTATGAAACCTTAGGTTGCAAATCTCTTCACGGAGAAGGCCTACGCGAATATTAAACGTAAGGAAGTATTTCTTTATGAATTTTTTTTTCCAATAAACCTATATTTATATGTATTTATTAAGGTGACCATATTTTTTTAATTCAAAACCGGGAAGGAAAATTTTAAGTATTAAAATCCGGGACGGGGAAATGCCATTTAAATTATATAGTTTGTAAGACTATATATTATTTATATTAATTAACTTTTAATAAGAACTTTGTTTCGACTATATGTATACTTTTTACCTACGATATTATATCTTATTCTTTTTGCTTTTGAGCCCTGTACAAAATTCTATACCACTTTCTTCATAATTAATTAAAAAAAAACAGCACTTGTTTCCTTGTTTTCATAATTTATAGTAATTTACATAAAATTTTCGAAAAACCGGTGCAATCCGGGACAAATATTGCTTTTAGAAATACCCGGCCACAAGGTGCAAATCTGGGACTGTCCTGGCCAAACCTGGACGTTAGTCACCTTATATTTATACAACAGTATTGTAGCAACATATCGAAAACGCGATATAAAATATAGTGAACAAGAATATTTTAAAAAATCCTAATTTCTAATTTTAAAAAATCAAGGTCTTTAGGATAATGATCAATATCCTAAAGATGATCAAACGTAATAAATAACAAAAACAATTTTTATTTTGAATATTTTTATTGAAAAGGTTAGGATTATCGTAGTTTAATGTCACACATCCTGTCTTCATACGGGTAATTTGCATTCACAAATTGCTTACAAATATTAACTTTGTTAACATATCACAATATAATATTTATAAATTAGGCCCAACTCCAGATACTCACATGGAAAGCAAACGCAAAATTCGTCAATGAAAGTTTTGCTCGATAATATCAATATAATAATCGGTGTTCCACATACATTGCCATTTAATTTTACTTCATCAACAAGTTATTTTTATATACATACACACTTGTCATGCCGTTTTATTATGATTGTCTAACGCATGAATTAATAGAAATAATTATAAATTAGGATAAATCAAAATACTATAACAGCACTGGATTTTTATAGACTTAAGTTATTAAAAAAAGGAAAGTGAACCTGCACCAAAAACCACCACATTTTCTATAAGTCCATTCAATAAGTTTAAGGATTAGTTTTCCCAGCCTCGGCAACCAGAAGCTTGTTATAGATACAGATCTAACTTTAGAATTCGATTTTCTTTATCTAGAAAAAAGTTATTACATGCATTATATTATATTAACAAATGGATCACAGAATACAACACATCTTTATCAAAGCAATAAATTTTTAACAGATTTACAGCTGCAAAGGTTATTTCAACTAAAATAAGATGGTCGATAAAATTTTGGATTCGAATCAGCATTTCGATAAAAGTGGTTTTCGATTTCGATTTTATAATATTTAGAGTTAAATATAATATTAGTAAATTTAAAAATAAATAAGTTCAAAAACTATAACAGCATCAAATTATTTCGGACCAAAATTAATTAAATATCGCCCAACAAAATAAATTTAATTTGAGACAAAAATCATTGAAAAATACTTTGCTAAATCATCATGAAAATTGCGAAAATTATTCGACTATGATTCAATTGTTGATAAATGTATTTTGTATTTGCACCAATACTTGAGCAAAAGTAATTTCTTGTTATCTTTAGAAATAAAATAACTAAATGAATGAATGTATGTGAAAACATTTGAATAGTTGCAATAATTTCGTATCAAAATAAACGATAATCGCTAATTATACTATAACCAAGTTATATAAACAACAAACCACGACCGATTATTTTGCGTTTGCATTCCACATGTATTATAAGTTGTTCTCGGCCCAATTTGATAACGTAATAAATATTACGCATTTAATAATTCGCTAAATATTCGAAGAAAAAGAGACGATAGCCTAATGCAAAATGAGTATATATGACTAAAATTTATAGTCGTGTTACTTAAGAATTTTAAAGACATTTTTTGGATCTGGAATTTTAAACTATGGTTAGAATTATTATTATTAATATCCTATGGTAATAGGAATCAACTGTAATTTTAATTATGTTTTTTTTTCTATTTGTTCGACTGGTTATTTTATGCAGAATTATCAGACAAGAATCTTCTTCAACTCCACGAGATTCGTATCAGAATATTTTTTCAAGTCTAAAGGCAAAGATGGTTCATTCTTCTTTGTTTGCGTATGCCATGCCAAGATCTAAAAAATATATTGACACAATTTATGTATTTGAATTTAAAAATATATGTATGTTAATTAATTAAAAATAATTCACCTTAGTGCAATTATCGGCCATTAGCTCGATATCTTTGGGTTCAAATGGTTTAAGACTAATCAAAAAGCCATCTTCTTCGAAGCCTGGCCTATATGGCATTTTGGCATCTGGACGCGAATGTAGAAACTCAACGTTTATCGCGAAACCAGCCATATCAACGGGAAATTTGCGATTAGCCATCCATCTGCCAAAAAACGCATAAATCATTAAGTTTTGGTTATTAAAATTATAAAGCCGTACAATGTAGAGTAATCAACTGAGATAACTGTTAGAAGTACAATCAAATATAGTATATAAGGTTGTTCGGAAAGTCACTTCGTTTTTTTACCACCAGAATTTAACTATATTTTTTGAACCTAACATCACATTTAAGCCCTGTAATTATTATATGATTTGAAAAAATATTTCAAGGCTTGAGTGTAAAAAATTCTAATCATTTACATGCAGTAGTTTTCAGATGGTCCCACTTTGCATACGGAAAGAATTAATCAGCATTTTCGACATATTTTACTCGTTTGCTATAGAAAAGGTGAAAATACTGTTTAAGACAAAATGAAATTGACTAATGTGCACGGAAATGACGTGTTGATAGTACGACAGTGCTAAAACTGATTTGCTAAATTTCATTCCTGGTATTTTGATGTCCAAGATGCACCAACTTCACGATTGAAAAGTACGATTGAAGCTGATAAAGACGCGAGAAAGGCATTAGTTGATGCAAATCGGCGAATAACAATACATGAGTTAAAATACATTGAGTTAAAATTTATTAAATTTAACAGTTTATGACTACCCAAAAGGTCTGGAGTTTTTCTCGAAACTCAATGTATGGTTCTCATAGAAAGAAACGTGTGTCGTCTCACTGGCGTCCGCGATTCGCCTCTGAAAAGTCCTGAAAATTGTCAGGTTTTGAAGCGAATTGCCACTAAAAATGTCAAATAGAATATAAAGAATACAATACACACAATTTCCAATGAAACAAAAAAGAAAAACCTGATCAAAACAGGTGCAAAGCTGAAATTTGCCAGACAAAGGTGATGCAGTATGTTTGGTAAAATTTTAAACGAGTTGTTCATTTTTCAGCTTTTCCGGGATAACATAAAAGTTAATTCGGATGCCTTATGTCATCAGCTGGATAAACTAAATGATATACTTCAATAACAAAGGTCAGAATTGACCCACAAGCAAGGTATAAGTCCTGCATCAAGACGACGCAAGACCTCACATAAGTTTGATCAATCGCCAAAAGCTTTTGTAGCTTTAATGGGACCCAATGACCCATTCATCATATTCTCCAGACTTGCCATCATCGGACCATTATTTGTTCCGGCCACTATTAAATTTTTTGGGCTGTAAAACCATTACCTCAAACCAGCATGTCAAAAAGCACTTTTATCAGTTTTTTGCCAATAACGACCAAAAAATGTATGTTCTCGGAATTATGCTAATTCCATAAATATGACAAAAGATGTTCGGCCAAAACTGCTAATACATAATTTATTAAAGTATTTGTTTATTGTTCGAAAATTGCGTGACAAAATGTCTATAAAAACGAAGTTACTTTCCAAACAACCCAATACATATAATAATATAGGGTTCGCAGATATATCTTTTATATTAAGGAGTACGATGTTTTTATAATTAATTTTATTTTATATTATTTTATATTAGTTTTCTTATCTTAAGAATCTTATAAATAATTGTTATAATTACTATCACTTACCCATCATAAAATCCTACAAGCGTTCCATTCTTAACTACCGGACTGCTCACCCCCAATTTCGTGATTAAACCTACAGGCCACATAGACACACGTTTCGTGTAGCGCATCTGCAAATTAAAAATGTTTAAACAATACATATACTATTATTATGATAATAAAAAAATTGTTTTACTTATACTGACTTGTTTGAAGAGTTGTAGATCATAAGTATTGTCATCATCGGCAAAGTAAAAAACGCCGGTTGTGGCGTTGGCGCGAATCCACTCCAAGCCACGATTTCGGTTGGAAACTCCTCGGGGTTTCACCGTCTTACTTTTATATTTCTTTGGCATCGGTGCTAAAATAAAATTTTATCATATAATCAACAATCAATTTTAACATAAATTATTAAATCATGAACACAAAAATATTTCATAATTTTATGTTTTCTATTAAATTCAAACCAAAAGTATAGTACAGGGTAAAATGAAGAAATAGATGGCGAGGCGTCATTTATACTAATGCAAACATACATGCATAATACACACATATGAACACATACAGATAATTAATAAAAAAAACAATCATAAACAAGAAACAAATGACACCTCTAAGTCATATTTACCAAACTTATGAGTTCACACGGTGTGAAAAAATAAAATATTTCATTTTGAAAAATCAAACCAAAATTAAAAATATATGACAACAATTTTGAGGTGTGAATCACACCTCAAAATTGTTGTCATATATTTTTAATTTTGGTTTGATTTTTCAAAATGAAATATTTTATTTTACAGATGTGACTGTTATACACATAATTTGTTCATCGTTTGTGGTAATTGTGGTTTTTAATTATATACATTGAAGATAAGACAAGAAAGGGTTCAAAACGTCTGTAAAATTCATTAAGAAAAATTTAAATCATAAAGAAAACTTTTTTTGTTATAGTAATATAAAATTACTCAGTATACATCTTTAACGATTTGAAATACTACTGCATGTTATATATATATATATATATATATATATATATATATAAATAGATATAAATAGATATAAATCATTGTAAAGAAGCTTTCATATCCGATATACAGACTTACAATTGATAGAAGAGATAATATGCAGGCTCTTTGAACTGAACACGCGTTAATTAATATCATGCAAATTATGCCATTTAACAAATATTCTAATACTGAAAATAATATTTTTTTCAAAGATTTTTAATTACATTATATAGAATTAATAAAACATTGTCGATTTTGAAGTCCAGCAAATAAAACGCGTTACCGCGTTTAGAATTTTTAAAATATAATTCAAAATTTCAGAATAGCAAGGCAAATGCTCTGGTCCGGGCTTAATATAATACAATAAGAACCCGTTAAGACGATTATGGTCAATACGATTTTTCATATAACACCGGTCCTTCCATTTAGAAACATGTCCCTATCCCGCTTAAGACACGTTTTCTAATAATAAAAGTCATCAAATTTACTTTTTTTTTTAATCAATATATTGAGTGATGACGTTTTTTGTCCATTCAAGTAAATTTTTTCTTTGATCATTTCTATCTTGGATCCTTGAATACCACGATTGGGTTTGTGTTTTTCAAATAATTTGTGTTGTAAATTTTTTATTTATCACTCCATTTTATTTTTATATCATGTGTTATTTACGTTGTTAGGTTTGAATATTTTCATTGAAATTTAATATATAATAATTAACTTCCCGTAGGGTAAGTTATAATAATTGCAAAAAAAAAACAAAAATAAATTTTAATATCTTTACGTTTTAAAGGTTTTTGAACATTTTGGCATACCTTGAAAAATGGGTGTGTGTGTGTGTGCGTGTAAGTGTGTGTATGCGGATACAAATTTTCGTCGACGATTTCGGGAACACCGATTAACCGATTTGAATAAAACAAAAAAATATTCGATTGATAAGGAGAAGTGCTGATTAGTTCCTAAAGGCAGGTCTAGCCGATCCGAAGAAACGGGACAAAAACAGCCAAAAACGGTAACTCAGTTTTTAAGAGAACGGAGCGTCCGATTTTAATAATTTAAAGAACATTTTACTTGTATTGACAAGATTAAAAACTGATTAAATTTTTGGAAAAGCAGGTCTAGCGGTTTCGGAGATCTATATTTTTTTTTAAAAAAATGCCATTTGGCGGTCAAATATGATCATTAGACTTATGCACATGAAATTATCGGATATTTTATGAAGCTAAGCAGTGCGTTTGCTTTAGAAAAAAAAAATCCAAAATACTTCAAAATAAAAAAAAAAAAATTCTAACTTTCAAAATTTAAAAAAAATTATCTTTTATACAGAATTTAATTTTTGGTACGGAAAGTTCCAGCTGTTTGCCTTAATGCATAATGCCATAACCACTTGTTATAATTTTAATAAGACACTCAAAAAGTGTCAAACTGGGACTCGAACCGTAAGAAAGTCAATTAAATTTAACATTTTAGGAAACAATTTGGTTTTCTTTCTATTATCTGGATGCCTATTAAAAAAAATCTCATGTTAGAAAAATTATATATATATATATATATATATATATATATACATTTCAAAAATTTATTGAAACTCAGAGGCGTGTGGTTTGCAACTATCCGTGCTAGATTTGATACAAATGAATTCTATGTTAAAACATCGATCAAAAACTTTCGTATAAATATCGGATTAAAAGGCACGTAAAGAACTCATACATCATATATCATACAGGCATAATCGCGAAAGCGCGATATTGTAATACTAACGATTTTTATTCGAATGAGGAAGCGACACGCTGCGTGCATTCACAGCCATTTCTACTGAAAAAATATTTTATAGACCACGCGAAGCATTAATTAACAGTCTAATTATTGATATTCATAGATCATATTTGTTCAATAAATTGAATCGCTGTTTTGTGTTGAAGCGATAGTGATAGATAAATAACCGGCTGCAGAATCGTATTTATAGAGTATTGCTGACACGTGCTCCATAAAGGCGTTGCATTTATAGCGCATATGTAAAATTAGTTTCCCAAACACCAGGCCATCGATGCATTGACAACAGTTTTGTCCACAAAATCCGATGCATTTTTAAATAGCACCACACTCATTAAAATAGCTTAGCGGTAGAGCTAAGCAAGTATGACCCATTTTTTTGAAAAAAACAAAGAACAGAAAATTATAATTATAATTAACAAATTATACCTAATAACACAGGTCCACAAAAAAGTTGTCTGTTTTGGGTATGTGGCATTTGTTTTGTAATGTAGTTTTAACCGCTGAGCACGAATCTAGAGTCAAAATTAGGGGTCAAATGGTGGAGAATTGAAAAAAATAAACGACAAAATCTCCGATGTAATCATTCTTCTCCATTATAATTAAAATCTTAAATAATTTCTGTCGTTTCCTGGCCTCTTTTACCTTAAATTACTATTAATTAATTTAAAGTCAAAATTTGGGGTCAAATGGTAGAAAATTGAAAAAAAGAACGACAAAATCTCCGATGTAATTATTCTACTCCATTACAATTAAAATCTCAAATAATATCTGTCATTTCTTGACCTTTTTTACCTTAACTTGCTATTAAATAATTTAAAGTCAAAATTTGGGGTCAAATGGTAAAGAATTGAAAAAAGAAGAACGAAAAAATCTCCGACGTGATCATTCTTCTCCATTATGATTAAAATCTTAAATCATTTCTATCGTTTCCTGGCCATTTTACCTTGAATTACTATTAATTAGTCTAAAGTCAAAATTGGGGGTCAAATGGTAGAGAATTGAAAAAAAGAACGACAAAATCTCCGATCTAATTATTCTTATCCACTATAATTAAAATCTTAAATAATTTCTGTCGTTCACTCGCCCTTTTTACTTTAAATTACTATTAAGTCTCAATTCAAAGATCTTCTGTGTGAGTTTATTTTTCTATAATTCAGCAGTAATTTGCAAACATATTTATTCCCCATTGGCCATTGGTTGCGATTGCAATTGAATATCTGAAAATATGTTGGCAAATCACTGCTGTGATCTACGAAAAAATAATAGATCATTTAAGTGAATTCTCAATAGTCATTTTAGGTAAAAAGAGTCAGGAAACGACAGAAATGATAAGATTTCAATTATTGTTGCCCATTGGCTGCAATTGCAATTTAATATCTGAAAATATGTTAGCAAATTACTGCTGTAATCTACAAAAATAAAATAATTAATAGATCATTTAAGTAAATACTCAATAGTCATTTAAGGTAAAAAGAGTTAGGCAACGACAAAAATGATAAGATTTTAATTATCATGCAGAAAAATTACCAGATCGAAGCTTTAGCTTTTTTTTTTTAATTTTTTCGAATTTTTGCCATTCAACCCCCAATTTTGACTTCGTGTTCAGCGGTAAAAACTATATTGGAAAACATATGCGACAGGCCCAATATAGACAACTTTTTTTATCTATTTTCTCGATGTTTCAAACGTTGTTCCGGAACGTTTGATACCAAAATTAGAAGAAGTATATGTATTTACATATATGTTGTGTCTATGAGAGCCAAAATTTGACTTCTTGTCGATGTTTTTTTTAAAAAGTCAGCACCTATTTCAAAAATTTCAAAAATCCAATGCGATTCGAAAAGTACTCGCGTTGATTAGAATTGTGCGACAATCGGCAGAGCCGTTTCTTTAGAATCAGGAGATAAGTGCGAATTCTTTTGTCCACGTTTAACCAAAAATCCTGAACCAATTTTAAAAATTCAAAAAATATGAAAATGATATTTTTTGGACTAGATAATTGTATAGTGCTGATTAGTTTTTTGTAGAGAAAGACGTGCTGTTTCTTTGTAATTAATTGTTGTAATTTTTTATGGTTTTGATGCATCTTTGTACGATGATAGAGTTCATGATTTGAACAAACATTTTAAAATGTTATACATTATATACTTACAAAAAGTGGCTTAATTATAGTCAAAATTTTAAATGTTACTAACTCTCAATTTTCATTTTCAAGTAACAAGTTCCGATAGAGACATTAATAACTTCTTTGTTATATGGTATCTTATTCAATAATACATTAGTATTGACCCAGTCGAGCAATTAGATGAAGTAAGTCATTCCAATTTGGATATTGCTTTATTAAATTTAATGGAAGTGATAACAATCCTTTGTAGTATTAATGCATAAATTATCTCACTCAAGGCTACTTACACGCAATACAAATCTACGAAGCTCCATATAGCCAGCTTTGTTATTTGCACGCGATACGCATTTTCTAGCCAACATATTAATACTCATTTTTGATTGGATTATCATGAAATTAACTGAAATAAGGATCAATCGAATAAAGAAATAGTTAGGAGATATAAGTAAAAGGTCTAATCCCAAATTGCGTGATCACCAAATGAATTTTAGTTTACCACATATACACAAGAAACACGTAACATAATTCAATCTAGCACAAATGTTTTTGAATTTTAATTATTTGACAATCATTTCTTGCACTTTGGATTTTTTTTGTTTTCATTATAAGCGGCAGAGCATTATATGTTTGCATTGTTCAAAAACTTTGAACAATGGCATCCATCCAGATAATTGAGAGAAAATTAAACTACATTTCTAAACAAATTTATTAGACTCACATATCTTTCTATAAACGTCATTTATAGATTAATTTGATTTTCAAATTAAATACTTTTTATTCGTTTTCGACTCGACACGTAAGGAAGTCTAACATTTTTTTTTTTTTTTTAATTTTTAGTAATATAATTGAGTTTCTTTCTATTATCTGGATGGATGTCTATACGGGAGTATATAACAGTGTTTGTAAATATAATAGTACGTGAATGAGTAATAGTATTTGCGTACATAATAGTACGAGAGTATATAACAGTGTTTGTAAATATAATAGTACGTAAATGAGTAATAGTATTTGTGTACGTAATAGTACGAGAGTATATAACAGTGTTTGTAAATATAATAGTACGTGAATGAATAATAGTATTTGCGTACATAATAGTACGGGAGTATATAACAGTGTTTGTAAATATAATAGTACGTGAATGAGTAATAGTATTTGCGTACATAATAGTACGAGAGTATATAACAGTGTTTGTAAATATAATAGTACGTAAATGAGTAATAGTATTTGTGTACGTAATAGTACGAGAGTATATAACAGTGTTTGTAAATATAATAGTACGTGAATGAGTAGTAGTATTTGCGTACATAATAGTACGAGAGTATATAACAGTGTTTGTAAATATAATAGTACGTGAATGAGTAATAGTATTTGCGTACATAATAGTACAAGAGTATATAACAGTGTTTGTAAATATAATAGTACGTGAATGAGTAATAGTATTTGCGTACATAATAGTACAAGAGTATATAACAGTGTTTGTTTGTTTGTAAATATAATAGTACGTGAATGAGTAATAGTATTTGCGTACATAATAGTACGAGAGTATATAACAGTGTTTGTAAATATAATATAGTACGTGAATGAGTAATAGTATTTGCGTACATAATAGTACGAGAGTATATAACAGTGTTTGTAAATACAATAGTACGTGAATAAGTAATAGCATTTGCGTACATAATAGTACGAGAGTATATAACAGTGTTTGTAAATATAATAGTACGTGAATGAGTAATAGTATTTGCGTACATAATAGTACGAGAGTATATAACAGTGTTTGTAAATGTAATAGTACGTGAATGAATAATAGTATTTGTGTACGTAATAGTACGAGAGTATATAACAGTGTTTGTAAATATAATAGTACGTGAATGAATAATAGTATTTGCGTACATAATAGTACGGGAGTATATAACAGTGTTTGTAAATATAATAGTACGTAAATGAGTAATAGTATTTGCGTACATAATAGTACGAGAGTATAGAACAGTGTTTGTGAATATAATAGTACGTAAATGAGTAATAGTATTTGTGTACGTAATAGTACGAGAGTATATAACAGTGTTTGTAAATATAATAGTACGTGAATGAGTAATAGTATTTGCGTACATAATAGTACGAGAGTATATAACAGTGTTTGTAAATATAATAGTACGTAAATGAGTAATAGTATTTGTGTACGTAATAGTACGAGAGTATATAACAGTGTTTGTAAATATAATAGTACGTGAATGAGTAATGGTATTTGTGTACATAATAGTACGAGAGTATATAACAGTGTTTGTAAATATAATAGTACGTGAATGAGTAATAGTATTTGCGTACATAATAGTACAAGAGTATATAACAGTGTTTGTAAATATAATAGTACGTGAATGAGTAATAGTATTTGCGTACATAATAGTACGAGAGTATATAACAGTGTTTGTAAATATAATAGTACGTAAATGAGTAATAGTATTTGTGTACATAATAGTACTCTCGTACTGGTTCAATTATAATTATTGATTAATTAAAATTATTGATTTTTGAATATTTGCTTTTAGAAAATACTCCGAGTTAACGTGTTCGTTCGTTCGTTTGCAATGATGTGTAATAAATCCACTCGGAATACTAATAATCACTCATAAATTAATTTATTTTTTATTGATCAACCTCTTGTGCCAATGCTAACTATATTTGTTTGGTATCAAATGATGAAATCGCTAACAAAAATCATGCTGGACTATGAAAAAAATCTACAGGCTGGAAAAGTTACGACTAATAATTAACCTTGATACAATGGCTTGGAGCCAGAAAACCACACACACATACATATCTGGGGCAAAAAATAATACAATCTGGAACAACACAATGGCATTGTTCCAGACATAAATATAATACAACAGTAAGATCCACTTAATCCACTCCACAGACCCCGTCGTGTCATACGAATATAAATAATAAAATTTCATATAACTCTTGAAATGAGAACATTGATTTACTTTTTCTAATAATCATCTTTACCTGTAAGATGGACGACATTCATGCCCGTCCTTTGAAGGTACTTTGTTACAAGAGGGGTAGCGACTTCTGCATCCTCGATGACCAGCCAGTGCAAATTCGGAACGTGCATCAGAGTGTGCGCCAACCTGGTCAAGTCGGCCAATTGTTCTGACCGCCTGTACGTTGGCGTTATGACGTACAAGGGAGGCACATCGGGTTTTGATACCTGGTCGGAAGCCTGATAAAGAATAATGTAACGTAATATAAGATATCATTATGTATCAGATATAAATTTGAATAATATTTGGTTTCTCCACCACCTGAAATACAACACAATTAATGCATGGCGTGAAAGTTATAAAAAAATATACGGGAAGTTATAAAAAAAATTATGATAAGTTTGACGACCAGTGAAAAGTAAGTAAATTTGAGTGACCAGTGCAGAGCAAATTTACTGCAAAGCGTAGCTTGCCGACGAATTTAGGCAAGCTACGCTTTTGATAGAAATCTGATAATTTTATGTTCACATATCAAATAATCATTTTCTGGCCCTTGTTCCGCCGTTTTTCCGAAACATATATATATATATATCTAGTTCTGTGCATTGTCAGTACAAACCAAATATTTTTCGAGTCATTCAAATCGGTTCTATCGTTATTTCCAAACCTTGACAAAATTCTAACATACTTCAAATACATAATACATATTTTTACCCTACACTCATTTTTTCTGCGATAAGCAAAATTAATTGAGAAGCGTACAAAATAGATAAAAAAAAATAATTTCGTATTTTGCGAGTGATTATCAAAATCAGGAAGTTCAATATCCATATTAGATTGAATTTTGTAAGGAATTTGTAAAAGCTTTATAAAATCTAGTCTAGTGAAAAATTATCAATAATAATTTTCAAAAATGCAATATTAAAGAACAAGATGTACAATAAGCCTTATGTACATAAGTTTTTGAGTAATAATTGTTTTAATCGAGTAATTCTTTGAATATTCATTATTTTATAAGAACTTTCGCTGATAAACGAAGCAGTACGACGATATGGGCATAACCGAAAACAAAAACTCCAATATTGACGATAAACTGCGTAATCATACTAACAAAGAAACTGTTTAAACTGCTTATCTAGTCCATACAATATTTTTTTAACGGAAATCAGAGCTTTTAAGTGTTCTATGAGCTGTTTTCAACGATGCTTATTTCTAGGTAAAGACGCTACTTAAAGACAATCCATCGATTTTCCTAACTATCTGAGGTAATGCTCTTATCTATTTTTGAACGCTATTCAAAAGAAACTAGACTTTCGAATTGTGATATTGCAACAATGCTCCGTAGGGATATTTTCACTTGAAAACATAATTCCATCGATAGTTCTGAGAGAAAACCGGTGCACTACTGCTTGACATCACATGGTGGGTATCGAACCTATGAGTTTTGATTATAAACGAAGCTAAAAATAAATTCATTTTTTGCACTAAAAGCATATTCATTTTTTGAGGAAACGGAGCGTCCGATTTGAATTGGTTTTGGAGATCCAGAAGAAAAAAGTTTAAGAAATTTAGGTCAAAAATGTTAATTACCACCAAAGCCCGACATTATGCAACTTTGATGTCAAATTTCCACTTGAGGTTGTAGATCTCAAATATAGCCTCAAGTGAAAATCGTCTCTTGTGGGTATAGTTGCATATACGAGTCGTATATAATAAAAATGTGAGCGAATACTTCGAGTATAGAAGTCATAAGTGGATTGGACGACTACTGGGTTGCCATCCATTCAAAAATCCATTTAATAAAAAGTCAAAACAATTACTGAATGTCCTAAGTGTGACAGATTGTAATAAAAAACAGAAAGTTAACTTATAAAAGACATTTTATAAAAATTTATATAGAGATTTTAATAATGGTTATAATATTTGTTTTCATTTCTATTGGTTCTGTACCAAGATTTGTAATGTTTAAAGTTCACATATAGTTCAAAGAAATGTCCTCGACAATTTTCACAGTATGAATCAACTGATTTGAAAGGGTTTCAAAATTTTCAAAAAACTAGTGGGTCGCATGGCATCGTGCCTTAAGGCAAATAGCTGGAACTTCCCGTACCAAAAATTATTTTTTTTTTAAAAGATTAACATTTTTGAAAAAAAAATTTACTTTGAAAAAATTAGATTTTTGAGAAATTATAAATTTTTGACAAAAACTTACTTTTTTTCGAAGAAAAAATTATTTTGAAATATTTTGGAAATTCTGAACTTTTTTCAAAGCAAACTACTGCTTTAACTGCATAGAGACGAAATATCGAAGCGGGTAAGCGCCGCGTCGCCGTCTAACGGATAAACATTGGTACGGAACCCATAGGAATGTAAACAAAATTTATACTTATTATTAAAATCTCTATAAATATCTGATAATTTGATGTGCATATGTCTGATGATCATTTTTGACGCCAAATGGCATTTTTTTTTTTACTTTTTTTACTAGATCTCCGAAACCGCTAGACCTACCTTCATGAAAATTTGATCAGTTC